CTGCCGGAAGAAGCGACTGATGAGGAGAGGGCTGCTTCTGCTAAGGAAATGGAGCATGACTTCCTGTGCAAGAACTACATCCTCAACGGCCTGGCAGACGATCTCTACGACTACTATGCGGACAGCAAGAACACCGCGATGATTATCTGGGATGCGCTCCAAAAGAAGTACGACAAGGAGGAGGCTGGGGCTAAGAAGTATGCTGTCAGCCGCTACTTGCGCTACCAGATGGTGGATGACAAGTCTGTCGAAGTTCAGTCCCACGAACTTCAGAAAATAGCTCATGAGATCGTCTCTGAAGGTATGCCTCTGGACGATCAATATCAAGTTGCTTGCATTATTGATAAGCTGCCCCCTTCGTGGAAAGATTTTCAGAATATGCTTAGACATAAAACCAAAGAATTTTCACTGGAAAGTTTGATTACTCGCCTAAGGATTGAAAAAGAGTCCCGCAAGCAGGATATGAAAGAAGAGGTGATGGTCGTCACTGCTAAACGACCCACCCCTAGAGCTCTTAAACCTAACCAGAAAGGGTTTAAGAGTAAGAACCAGCAGGTCCGCCCCCACCAGAATGGTGCCTCTCGAGGTAACCAAAGGGTCATGGCCCAAACCTCTAAGAATGACCCACCGTTTATCTGCTATAACTGCGGAAAACCCGGTCATATGGCAAAAAAGTGCAGGAACAAGCAAAACCCCGCCGCTGCGGCCAGGGTTAACTTGACAGAAGAGGATTTGGTAGCCATGATCACAGATATGATCGCTGAAGTTAACCTCACTGGTGACTCTGAAGGATGGTGGCTGGATACAGGTGCATCGAAGCATGTATGCAACAATCGTGCTATGTTTAAAACATACACAGAAGCACCTGCTGACAAGAAAGCGTTGTTGGGGACTACTCACACCACTATGGTTGCTGGTTCTGGTGAAGTGGAGCTGAACTTCACCTCTGGGAAGAAGATGGTGCTCAAGGATGTGTTGCACACTCCAGAGATAAGGAAGAATCTTGTTTCGGGATATCTTCTTAATAAGGATGGGTTTAATCAATCTATTGGGGCAGACTTGTATACCCTTACTAAGAATGGGAGTTTTGTGGGAAACGGATATGCATGTAATGAGATGTTCAAGTTGAATGTCGAAATTAATAAGATGAATTCTTCAGTTTACATGGTGTGTGATTTGAATGTTTGGCATGCTCGTCTTTGTCATGTGAACACACGAATTGTGAAGAATTTAAGCAAGCTAGGACATATCCCTAAACTCTCAATGAATGAATTTGATAAATGTGATTTCTGTAGCGAAGCTAAAATAACGAAAACGCCCCATAAATCTGTGAGTAGAGAATCAAAACCCTTAGATCTGATTCATTCTGATATTTGTGAACTAGATGGCACGTTAACTAGGTCTGGCAAGAGATTCTTTATCACTTTCATAGATGATTGCTCTGATTATTGCTTTGTTTATTTGATGAAAAACAAAAGTGCAATCGAAAGATAAAAAGACTTGGGAGTGATAGAGGATTAGAGTATGACTCTAATCCCTTCAAGGAATTCTATAGCTCACATGGTATCATTCATTAAACCACGACACCATATTCACCAGAAATGAATGGTAAAGCTGAGCGGAAAAATAGGACGTTTACAGAATTAGTAGTGGCTATTATGCTCAATTCTGGAGCTGCTTCTTCTTGGTGGGGTGATATTTTGTTGACCGTTTGCTATGTGCTAAACCGTCTTCCAAAAACAAATAGAAAAGAATCACCCTATGAGATCTTGAAGAATAAGCCACCTAATCTGTCCTATTTAAGAACGTGGGGCTGTTTGGCCTACGTAAGAATTCTGGATCCTAAGAGGATTAAGTTGGCTAGTCGAGCATATGAATGTGTCTTTTTGTTGGCTATGCGCCCAATAGTAAAGCATATAGATTCTATGATTTGAATGCTCGTACTATAATAGAATCCATTGATGTTGATTTCTTTGAGACACGATTTCCATTTAAAACGAGAAATAGTGGGGGTAATCTACTACCCGCTATTAGAGATAACGGAACTAGTGGGGGTGTTGGATCTGAGGATGAACTCAGAAGAAGTAAAAGGGCTAGAATCTCTAAAGATTTTGGTGATGATTTTACTACAGTAAACACCCTCGAGGATCCAAAAAGTTTGCCGGAAGCATTAACTTCCATAGATGCAGACTTTTGGAATGAGGCCGTTATAGATGAAATGGAATCGTGAGAGGCTAATAAGACTTGGCATCTAACAGACTTATCTCCCGGCTGCAAAGTCTTAGGTAATAAATGGTTTCTAAAAACGAAATAGAAACCTGATGGTGCAATCGAAAGGTTCCGAGCTCGCTTAGTAGTTAAGGGCTACAGGCAGAGACAGCATATAGATTTCTTCGATACCTATTCACCAGTATCTAGAATAACATCCATTCGTGTCATGATTGCTCTTACTGCCTTGAACAATCTCGCGGTACACCAAATGGATGTTAAGACTGCTTTTTTGAATGGTGATCTAAATGAAGAAATATATATGGAACAACCAGAAGGGTTTGTAATCCCCGAACATGCCTCGAAAGTCTGTAAGTTAGACAAATCATTATATGGTTTGAAACAGGCTCCAAAAAAGTGGCATGAGAAGTTTGACACTCTCGTTCTCTCACATGGCTTTAAGGCGAATGAAAGTGACAAGTGTATTTACTGCAAGTCAGAGAATAACACTTGTACTATCATATGTTTGTATGTAGATGACATGTTAATATTTCGTACAAATATTCACGTGGTCAATGAAGCGAAAGCCATGTTAAAAGAGAGTTTTGAGGTGAAAGATCTGGGAGAAGCGAAGTTTATGCTTGGAATCCAGATAACTAGAACATCAAATGGTTATTCTCTAGATCAATCTAGCTACATAGAGGAGATCTTGAAGAAATATAACTATTTCAACTGTAAACCTGCGTGTACTCCGTATGATGCTAGTGTAAAGCTATTTAAGAACACTGGAGACAGTGTAAGACAATCAGAATATGCTAGCATCATTGGCAGTCTCCGTTATGCTGCGGATTACACTCGACCAGACATTACATATGTCGTGGGATTGCTTGGCAGGTTTAACAGCTGTCCTAGTAGAGAGCATTGGAATGCTAAAGAGAGGGTCATGAGATACCTCAAGAGAACAGCAAACCTTGGTATACACTATCAAAGGTTTCCCGCTGTACTAGAAGGGTATAGTGATGCGGATTGGAATACCCTATCAGATGACTCCAAGGCAACCAGCGGGTATGTTTTTAACATCGCTGGTGGACCTGTGTCTTGGAAGTCAGAGAAACAAACAATCCTAGCTCAATCAACTATGGAATCAGAGATGATAGCACTAGCAACGGCTAGTGAAGAAGCAAGTTGGTTGAGAGGATTGTTGTCAGAGATTCCCCTATGGGAAAGGCTGGTCCCTCCGATATTGATACATTGTGATAGTACCGCAGCTATCGCTAAAGTTGAGAACCGGTTCTATAACGGAAAGAAACGACAGATTCGTCGTAAGCACAGTATTGTAAGAGAACTCCTAACGATAGGAGCAGTGAGGGTGGATCATATAAGATCCGAACATAATCTAGCTGATCCTTTGACGAAAGGATTACCTAGAGAGAAAGTCCAGAATACCGCCAAGGGTATGAGACTTATGCCTACCGAACCACGGACTACATGTGATGGTAACCCGACCCAATAGACTGGAGATCCCAAGAAATGGGTTCAATGGGTAATAACAAGTCATGAGTAGTATGCGAAAGTTCATGCATAGTGAAGCATGAATCCCAAAGAAATGGAGGTTGAGTTAATAACTCTTAATGAGATCTATACCCTATGTGGGGTGGAGTACTTTACTTTGGGGGTACTCCTGATAGACTCACCTATGTGAATGTGGGAGTGGGGCCGCTCCCTATGGAACTTTGGAGGCACAAAGTTGCTAGAGCGTTCACTAAACCAGGATAACGTGCATGGCCATAAACGCACGGTCTAAGAAGAGAACACAACTCAATGAAAAGATCTGGTGTGCTACACTGTCTGAGATAGGGTTCGAGACTACGAGTCACTCTTATGAAATCGGAAGTGTAACCACTACGCTAAGGTTCAAATCTTCGCGATACCTTAGCTTATGCCCGATCTTATGGAACTGTTGATGCTCAGAGATAGTTTCAAAACTATTCAAGTGGGGGATTGTTGGAAATGTATATATGAATAGCTTTGAAAGCTATAGAGTCTCAAGTGGAAAAACTACCACATTGGTAGTTTTACTTGGTGAAATGTGTATAAAGATAGGAGCCTCTCTCCTAGGGGCATGCCCCTTGGGGTGATCCACTTTTGTGGGAGAGGGAGGACCTAATGGACCACCACACACACGCGCGCGCCGTCCTTCCGTCCGACCGGCCGGCCGGTCGATCGGTCGGTCGGTTGGTTGGTTGGTTGGTTGGTTCACTTGAGACTATATATATATTTTTTGGAGAAATTGCGAATGAAATTAATTATCTAATAATTTATTATTAATATCGGTTATTCTGAGGAATATTCCAAGGATAATCGATTAAAAAGGAATATTCGAAGGATAATCTCGCAGGATTTATTTTAACCAACGGTTTTAATTAAGGAAGTAATTATCTTCCTTAATTACTCCGACTTTTTCCCCAAGCAAGAGGGTATATTCCTAGGGGTTCGGCTCCTATAAATAGCCATCTCCCTAGCCCCTCTAAACACATCACAACGAGCATAAACACAATAGAGAGAGTGTTCAGAGAGCTCCGGTTTTCGCACAAAACCGCGAGTATTGAGAGGAGCTGTTTTATCCTGGAGACTACCAGTTGATAGTCTGCCGTGCGCATCGAAGACAGTGCCACGAACGTCTTAAAGAGAGCGACCTAGTCCGCGACTCAGCTCCAGATTCGGTAACCTCGTTCTTGTTGTTGTTTCGTTCCTAACACTTTGTAGCCATGGCACCTTCTAAGAAACGTGCAATAAAGGGGAAACGAAAGGAAAAAGTTCGTACACCTAAGCGAGAGAAAGTTGGTGTTTCTCCTGTGCATGGAAAGTCGAATAAGAGGCATCCCAGTAATACTAATCGGATTCCTGCCATCATGAATGCTGAAAGTACAAATGAAGAAAACCTACAGATGCTTGATCCTCTGGGTTTTAGGGGTGTGTCGAGGGTTAAGCTTACGAGACTCCCGGATAATTGTACCGAATGGCTTTGCAAAAGTTTTGATGTTAGTTCAAGGTCTTTCCCGCTGCTTCGGTCAGGGAAGTTCAGAATTGGAGAGGCAGATGTGGAGAGAGTCTATGGTTTGCCGTGTGGACCGTATGCTATTAAGCTGGATATGTTCAGTTCAAGACAGAGGCACAAGTGGGGAATTGACTTAGGGCTTCCCAACACTAAGAAAGGAAATGCGACATTGGCGAACGTCAAACTGACATTGGAAGAGGAGAAGGAGAATAAGAAGTGGAGGGATCTTTTTGTGCTGTATGCAATTGAGGCAGTTCTGTGTCCCAGTGGAAATTTGAAGGTTGACATCTCCTATGTTGGGTTTTTGCAAGATGAAATGGTAGATGACTTCAACCAGTATAATTGGTGGTGCAAGCATGTGGCTGACTATTTCAATGAAAGTATGGTCGAAGTGGTTGAATCAGTCTCAAAGTTCCCTTCTAACGTTCATCTTCTTTTTGTAAGTAGATAAATATACACCTCTTTTTGAATTTTGGTTTACTGTTTCATTTATGGTTTGTTTATTGGCGAATGTGGTGTGGTTGAAGATGTTTATGGTTTGTTTAAAAATATTTATGGTTTGGTTTTTCCCCCTATGTTATAATGTTTCTAGTATAGTTTCATTTATGGTTTGTTTATTGACGAATGTGGTGGTTGAAGATGCTTATGGTTTGTTTAAAAATATTTATGGTTTGGTTTTTTCCCCCTCTGTTATAATGTTTCTGGTATAGTTTATCATTTATGCGGTGTGTATTATAATCTTTCTGGCACAGTTTGTTTGTAGTTGTTTGACTTCTGTCTGTTTTTATATGCGGCAGATTTCTATTCTTGACCGCCTGAAGAACCACCCTGAGCTGCCCATACCGACCTGTAGGCACAGTTCATACAAAGTCGCAAGTGCTGCTTTTCAAGTACTGATGGACGAAGGCCATATCTCTATTGGTCATCGAGTTGTAGTGGAGGAAGAACAAGCAACCTCCAGTCTACCAATGGGACGAGGACATGTGAAGGGTACACAGAGGAAAAGGGCGATGGATGATCTTGATATGGAGAGGGAAGGGGATCTTCCGAAGCTGCCCCATCTTGACATCAACTGGGATGGTTTTCATTCGGTTAAAGAAGTGAGTGATTTTGCTGTGTTATTTGTTTTATGGCTTGCTTTAGCGTACTTTTAGTGTGCTTTAAAAGGATAGTGGTTTGCATTAGTTCGTTTAAGGAATACTTTATTTTATTCATGTGCTGGTTAGTTGTGTTTTCTGTTGTTTGTTCTATGGGTTGCTTTAGTGTACTTGTGGTTTCTGTTAAAAGAATATTGGTTTGCATTACTTCCTCAAAGGAATACTTTATGGTATTTATCGTTTGGTAGCTGTTTTTATTTTTGTGAGAATTCAAACATATGTGGTTTGTATACGTGTGTTTCAGGTATTCATTAAAAGGAATGTGAGATTCTTTTGAAGGTTTATGATTTACTTTTGGGATGTTCACTAACTTGGGATATTTTTCGTGTTTTTGTAGGCATATCAGTTGAAGAATTACATGGAAAACTATAAGAGGGCTTTGTTGAGAATGGTTAGTCATTACAGTGCCAGCATTGAACAAGTTGATGACCATATAAAGATGCTTGAGGGGCAGCAACCAGAGGATAGTCTTGAAGAAAATGTTGATTTCATTGATAGTGTTGAGGATGTTGTTGTTGTAAGGGAACCAATGATGTGTTTGCAGATGTCGGTCGCAATGCATCTGCTGCTAATGCTGATGATGAGACTAGAGCTAACGGAGTATTAGATCCAAAGGTCCCGGGCCATGATGATTTGACAATGGAGATAGATAAGGATGGTGCTTGTACTGCTGATGCTAGTGGTAAGGAAAGCAAGGACGTGTCTCCAGATGTTGGTCACAATGATCCTGCTGGCACTGCTAATGATGATACCGCTGCTAAGGGAGTATCAGATCCGAAGGGGCTTGATGATCTGACAATGGAGATGACAGAAAAAAATGTTGATTATGATAATGCTATGAATAAGAAGGTTCGTGCTCCTGGCAGTGTTTCTCATATGGATAGCTGTGAGGAAAAGGGACAAGGTAAATGATGGGGATGACAATGTTGATGGTGTTGACGCTGCTAAGTTGGGTAACTTGGTTGAGAAGGTCATAAAGGTATTTTTAGTGTTTTGTGTTTGAATATTTGTGGTGTGGATTATACTGTTTTTGGTTTGTTTGTCATGTATTTTGTAGTAGGTTGTTTTGCATTTGTTAGTAGTGTGGTTTACATATATCTGGTTATGTTAAAAACTTTTGTGGTGTGGTTTCTATAGTCTGCTATGGGGGGTGTTCGTGAAAATTTGGTGGTTGATGCCAAAAGGAAAGAAGCTGATGCCAGTGAGGTGCTTGAGGGTGGTGACGATAGTGCAGATTTACAATTGAGTCAGATAATTGAGAGTCTTAGGACGGGAAAGGTAATTTATTGTACAATGTTCCAGTTTTGGTTTGTTTTTGTAGTGTGGTTTATCGCATTAGAAAATTTGTGGGTTGCTTTAAAAATTAGAAAACATTGAAGGTGAAGAATGCAGGAGGGTCATCAGGTGTTGATCATGATGTGTTGAAGTGTGCTGTGTTGCGATTTGAAAGGGATTCGAGTAACTTGTAAGTTAATGTGTATAGATTTCATATATATATGTGGTTGTTTGTATATATTTTAATATATAGTGCTTATTAATACTTTTCTAATGCCGACTCTTTTGTTTGTTATGGAATTATGAAAAATAGGAAGGAACTCCTTTTCAGTCGTGTCGAAGGATATTGTTGGGGGAATGTCTCGACTTCATCCGCTCCATTAATCGACGTACCTATTACGGCGCGCCAGTTAGGGCGCTCACAATGTCTCACTCGCGGAAGACAGATCAGGCAACACAAGCAGTGATGCGGCGCGGGGAGCAACATTCATTCCGAGCAGAAAGGAAATGCGGATTACCAAGAGGAATGGAAGCGCGCCAACGCCATTTGCGTTACCGCCACGGTGATGCCGCTCCATCACCGCCAGTCGCCAAGAAGAGCGGGGGCGCGATAGCGCCATCTGCGTGCAATACTCAAAAACAACACCGGACGACTGACAAGGCTACTCAGCCCTATTCGTAGACATCATCATACCCTAAACCCCTGTCTTTTCCAACTGTCATGTCATCTCAAAAACCCACCCACTGAGTGGTAGCATATAAATAGAGTATTTACACCGGTGGGTGAGGGGATCGGATTTTAGCTCTCTCTCACTAGAAACTCTAAAATCATCTCTCTCTCTCTCTCTCTCTTCCTTTTTGGCCTTAAACCTTGTAAGCTTGTGATCAAGTAAAGGAAATACGCGGAGGGCTTCTTAACTATACTCGCACCCCACTTACTTTTGTGTTTCACTCCTACTCTCAGTTAGACACAAACAATTGGCACCCACCGTGGGGCCGCGAGTAAAAAAACAAAAGAATATAATATGTCAGGACAAACTTCAAATACCCCATGGGAAGCAACTCCTACTCTCAATAGCAACTTCATTGGACAACTTACTCTGAAGAAGACAAAGTCGCTCTAGGGCTTCATTCGCCTTCTTCGTCGCGTCCTCCGCGCGACTTTCAGCTCCTGCCACCTTTCCCTCGAGCTGAATGCCCTTGTCCACTTCCGCTTTCAACGTAGCGGTGTCATTGGCCCGCTCTTACTGGGCGCGGAAGGTTTCCAGCAAACCCTACACAAAGGAACAAACCGCCGCATGCCTTTAAAAAAAAGGAAGAGGGAAAAAGAGAGGCAAAATACAAGTTGAATATCACGCCAACACGTAAAATGCTACTCACTGCAAAGTGGATCTGCGCAAGGCAGTGGAGCGGGTCGGTGTTCTCCATCCGCGGAGGAATGCTCAAGATGGGGCCCAGAGTGTTCAGAGCACTCTGCGCGGCAGTCAAAGACGATGCGACACCAGAATGCACCCGCACGTCTCGAAAGTGGGTGGAAACAAACGTTCCGAACCCAGGCATATCTGGAAGTTTCTGTTGATAAGAAGTCCGTTAATACTACAAAATACACAGACAAAAGAAGGAACTAACCATCGTTAACAACTCCGCAAGATGAGCCGCGCAGACTTCTTTGTGATAGAGGCCAATCTTCTCCTCGAGAAGCATCTCATACTCATCCTCCAAGCGGTCATAAGCACCCACATCTCCGACTCAAACCCCCCTTCATGCTGCCATGCATCCAAACAGTTGGCTAGTCAACATGCTCGCGCGCCCACTTCCCGGGGAGTAGGATTCACAAAGAAGAACCGCTCAAACCAGTTCTTGTCAAGCTTGGGCGAGCCATAGACATACTTGTCAGGCCTCTTGTCGCGCCGCTTTAGCGACAAACAATCACTCTTACTATTCTCCGTCGGGGCCTTCATCTTGGTGAATTTTCGGAACAAGCCATAAGTCGGCGTCACGCCGCGCCGCTTGCAAACAAGGTGGAGCATAGACGCGTGCATCAACACGGATGGCGACAGGCGGGAGATGGAGCACTTCAGCCTCCGAAGTAGGGAACACACTAACGGATCCACCGGGAACTTAAATCCCATTCGCCAGTACTCAGTATAAATACCAAGGAATGGCTACAAGAACCATCTCGCGAGGCGGGTCATGTAGCGCGGCCCCAGCTGACTCATGGCCTCGGAAACGTGAGGAATGGCTACGGGAACCATCTCGCGAGGCGGGTCGAACTCAGTATCCGAAATCTCCACCACCTCGCCAGAAGATGACGGAACACCGTCGGCGATGTCTCGACGGATGATCAACACTCCCCTAGCCCCCGAACTTGACCCGCCATGAAACACCCTAACCTGGCCGGGTACTACTTTTACTAAAATGCCCTTGATAAATAAAATACTCAAATCTTAAATTGCAGTGGGAAAAATTTTCATAAATAAAATACTGAAAACACACACTTGTAGTTCAAAGCAAAGCCCTAACACGTGAGCAAATTAAACTCAAACTTTAAAATCTCAATCTAATCTCCAGTCCATACTCATAATCATAAAATGTAAATAACTAGGTACTCTCTGTTGTTGCTGCTACTGAAAATCTTAACTAGGCATCATCCGTGACGCTTGCACTACCCTCCTCTAGCTGGCCACCCTCGAACTTTTCCTCTCGAACTCGCTGCTCTCTAACTGCTCCTCTAGCTAGCTGCTATCGATCTTGTTCTCGTTCATTCCCTTACTAAGGCCTGGTGAGTGAGTTGGGGTCAGTCTACGCCCTTACGTTTTAAACTTTCTAATAATTTTGCACTTACTTCTCAAACACTTAAACTCAAACTGAGGGAAGTTTTTTGTACTTCCATTCTTAAAAAAATCTTAACTCTTAAAACTGTATGGGAGTAACTGTTACTCTCCATTCTTAAAGCTTAAATCTCAACTTAAATACTTGACTGACATGGGGATCCCTCACTTGCTAGTCCGGTTGCCCAACTCATACGTATGAGAAGCCCTCCAGGCTTTCCTTAAACTTAAACTTATCGTGGAAGGCTCTTCTTCCACGATTCTCAAGAGCATAACTGCTACCCATCTTAAAAATCTCAAGAGCATAACTGCTGCTCAACTTAAATATCTCAAGAGCATAACTGCTGCTCAACTTAAATATCTCAAATGACAACGGATTGGCGCTAGTGACTAAAAACACTTAAAACGACTTCACCTCCATTGAAGGTGAGTTACTTCTTAAAAATGAACTTGTTCTTAAACTTTAACAATAATTTATAGTCGTGAAATTTCAAAGTAACTAATAATCTCAGACTCATTCACTTCAAATCATAGCTCAAACAAAGCATATATCAATCACAAACATACAATCTCAAACAAGAATCAAATACTGCACATACATCAAGTAACTTAATACTTAAAAGTACTCAAGCAAATACTTAAAAAAAAACATGTAGAATTTACCCCTTTACACTCACCTTACTTCCGTCGGAACTGGCTCTGATTTTGCTCCAAAATTTCCATACTCGCTTCCAAAATAGTCCTTATTACACTTCTCGTAGTTGCTTGAATAAAATGGAGCAGCTTGCTTGGCAAAAATGGAATTGGATGGACCAGCTTGCTTTGGTCATTATTGTGAAGCAAGTTGCTCAACTGGAAGCTTGCTGTTGCTTGGCACATATATGGAATGGACCAGTTTGCTTAAGCAAGTTGATCTCGTAGTAGGATTGGTTTCGACATGCCACTATCGGTTGCAAAGGCAAGCTTCTCTTGTAAGAAAGCAAGCTGCCACTATAGGCTTCTTAAGCAAGATGCTCTCACAATAGAGAGAGGGGGGGGGGGGGGGGGGGGGGGGGGGAACAGCCTGCTGTCGATGCCCGCCAGCTCATGCCCGCTTCCCCTCATCGTCCATAGCGTAGATAGCAATGACCATGGGACGAGCTTGCTCTCCATGGCGTAGTAGAGGGAATGATGATGCTTTGCCTCCCTCGATGGCGCCGCTTTGCCTAGATTTTTTTTTATTTCCCGAGAGCAAGTTCTCCACCGGACTGCCACCTCCTGCCTGCTTTATCGATAAGCTCCTGCCTGCTTCACCAATCAG